GAAGTCAACGACAACGATACTGCCAAAGAAAAATTTATACAAAGAATGAACCATTCTGACATGTATTTCATCCAGGAAGAGATTCCGAAAAATGAGTCGGACGAAAACGCTCACGTGGTGTGTGGTGATATAGAGGGTGCAAAAACGTACTGTCCTACACGCTGGAAAGCGCTACAGAACTGGTTTAAAGAGGCTCAAAAGGTAAGTGTTACAAAATGACAACGACGTTTGTATTTTTCTTGATGTAAACTTGCAAGAGAGAATGAGCTCTTGAAACTCGTGTGTGTTCGTCAACCTCGTCCCCTGCGGACAAGGTTGGATTTCAGTCAACTAAAATTCGTTGATCTTTTAAGGGGAACTCCCTTTCAAGGCTTGGCTATCTGACCAAATTAATTAACAATTAGTTCATGTGTCAGCGTGCGTATGTCGAGATATTCAGCAAGCGGAAAGTTTGGAGAGCACGAAAGAAGGGTAAGAGTTGCTCAAGGCGTTATTTAACACATGGTAAGCGCTTCATCGTGTACTGTTGAGTTATGGATGCACTTAAGAGATGTCTTGGGAGGATTGTAAAGCTTACAAGAACTCGAGGTATAGTCTATTGACGTCATCAGCGTGCTCAAAGGCAATATGTGGCACACTCGCGCTATTGAATTTGATTAGGCGAAAATTCTAGCTATGTTATAAGTCAGAAATTAGAAATAGATATTAAGTAAAACTAAGAAATCCTCGGAAAAAAAAATTCTATCCCCCAGCGCGAATCGAACCCACGACCTTTATACATGTAAGTCATGTATGTTTTCAATTAACTAGCCAAACTAAGAAACGGCATTTTTTTAACGCACAATTGTCTAAATTCTTATTTAGAAAAGTTGATGGATATGGCTTTTTTTCTTCCTGTCTTTTGTCAGGCGCTCGGCTTACTTGATCCCAAGACAATTAACATGTTCCATTTTACTGGCCCTAAACAAACCACGCCTAACTGTCCTATAACACTGGCTCCAGATTTTAACCCATCTGCAGGACCAAATTACGAGAGTGGTGGTAAAGAGTGCAAGATAAATGCTCAATACAATATACCGTTCTTTTTGGAGAGACCTGGACCCAAGTACGAAGAATGGAGTACGAACGCTCATGAAGGAAGACCTGGGCACCACACTCAAGTAAGTTTTTTGGATAGGTTTCTTTTTTTAGTTACGCATTAAACATGACATATAAAAATGACAGTGTCTTTTAGTATCCATTCCGTGTGTCATGCGATGAGGCTACCAGTCTAATATACCAGTCTGGACCAAAGTTAACGTGTAGTTGATAGAAGACAAAAAAAGAGATTTATTCTTTGGTGGCGGAAGTTAAATTACCAAAATTCTCCTTTGTGACTAAAACTTAAAGTGATGCTCGCCTTTACATTGGAGTGAACTACTTTCTATTGACTGGCATGAGTGACCACAGGACCGAAGGGATGTTCTTTCTCCTGGAAGCGATGTGTTTGGGTTTGGAATAAGGGAGGAGATGCGGAAAGGAGAGTGGGTGAGGCGCAAGGGAGAGGGGAAAGAAGTGGAGCGTGAAATAGGGAAACTTATGTGCACCGCTAAAGTTTCCTTATTCGAACTAAAAAGAGGCCATTGGAAATACATCCAAGTGTTAGTTTTTAGACTTTGAATTCGTTCTTTCCTCTTAAAAGGTTGATCATTGGCTGTTAATTTATTATGTTGCAGGTTCAAGGTCTGGAGGAGCACTTCATAGATAGGTGTGGTGGAGTAATTAAGTGGCTTGACTCAGAAACGTATTACACGGCTTTCACTGAAGGCTGGGGTCTATATGCTGAAAATCCGCTGATAGGTGAAGACACTGATACGTACGAAAATGAACCGTGGCAGAAATATGGTATGCTTAAATGGCAGGTTAGTTGACATTATCAGACATCGAGTGTCCCGTACTGCAACGGCTAACATATATGTATCAAGATTAGCTAGGAGCAGTTCGTGTACTTAATTAAAGAAATGACTATCCATACCAATTAAATTTCCTTATTTACTATTGTCTGAACTGCAGAAGGAATAAATTTCAGCTTGCAATGTCGCAAAATGGAATTTCATACACAAGCACAAAACTGGATAGAAACACAAATCGTCGAAAGTATTCTCAGTTCAATTAGGTGACAAAATTCTGATCGTGCTCCTGATTCTACTTTCTTTTTATCACATTGTTCTATTGTTACTGATACGTGCAACTGACATCAAGACAACAAATGTTAAAAATTCCACGAAACGTTTGTAATAAATTGCAATATTACCTGGACAGTCTGGTGCAAAAACACTCTTAAAGCAGAAAAAAAAAGAAACGATTACTGTTCCTATTGCTGTATATTTTTGGAGTCTGTACCAGAGACATTGCGGACAGCTAATGTAGAGATTTACGTATGGTAACGCCTCAGCTTGGTTGTTTGTGAAATCCTGAGAGTTTTTCCTTTCGATTTACTCTTCTTTGAATTGATTGAGTAAGAATTCTTATAATACTGTTTTACTTTTTAGGTGCCTTTCATAGTGTAATGGGCACCATGAATTTATCATTGATTTACTACCGTAAATAATTCCTAGCGTTTTGCACCCAACGTGTATTATTGTGACAGTTACAGATAGGAACAATTAAGCTTCATGTCTTATGTACCCGTTACGATTTTTCGATTCTTAATACATTTTTCCCATGCTTAATTTAAGGTTTGGCGCGCGTTGCGTTTGATTGTGGACTCTGGGCTTCACTCCATGGGATTTTCCCGCGCAAAAGCACTTCAGTACTTTAAAGATTATGCTTGGGATGAAAGCGAAACCGCTTACAAGGAAGTTACTCGTTACCAGAGCGCCCCAGGTCAGGCTACAGCTTACATGATTGGACAACAGCATATTAAGAAGCTAAGGGACGACGCACAAAAAATCCTGGGAGATAAATTCGACATCCGTGACTTTCACTATCATTTGCTTTCACAAGGCTCTTCGCCGCTGAGTCACTTGGAGCAGAGTATCAAAGATTACATCAAATGCGTTCAGAACGACAAGGCTCCTGGATGTTATGATATACTTAATCCTTCAGAGAAAGACGAAGAAGCGTACAATAACGTCGCGGAGGACAGCATAGTCCAGCCAATCACAAGAAGAAGACGTCATTATTTCTGACTATCGCACTATTCGCGTTGAGCATTATGTTCTTTAATATTAGATTACTTTACCAGCAATTCGAGGTTAACAAAAATCAAACAAACAAAAAATCACGAAGGCACACATTTTTTTGTTAAAGCCGTGAATCAAACTTAAATAGACCGGCTCACGTAGCTTCATTCAGTTGTAATGTTCAAATAAAATTCAGTTTTTCAGGGAGTTTACCGCTGTTGTTATTGATGGCGGAGCTCCACGTGTGCTCGCGTGCGTTAGCGGAGCCCTATAGCTAAGAAAATTCGTAATTTATCCTTACTGCATATCAGTATTGTAGCATCGCGGCATACTAAGTTATGGGACGAATCTGCGGCTGCCTTGGCAAAGATATGCAGCAAGGCTTGGTGATCTGCTCACTGCCATTAGGGGAGGTTAGAGGGGCGAAAAGCGCTTCCTGCAGACAATCCCGGCAAACTGCGAGATTTCACACCGCGACACCCAAATTTAACTTAGAAGGCCGCAAAGGATCATAATTGAATCCAACTGCTAAGAACTCTTGGGATTAAGAGAATGCAGGCATGTTTGCGAGACGCTCTCATTATATATGCAGTAAGAATAGGTTATCTATCTCTCTGAAAAATTATGATATTCATGTGACCGTACGTCCGTCCGACCATCCGTCCGCAGTACATGAGAACTAATATGATATCTTACACTTTCTAGCGGAGCTCCGGCGCGCGAAGCGCGCCAGCGGAGCACCATGGGTAATAAAATTTGGTAAACCATCCATCCGAGAAAATTTGGTTATGACGTAGCGTACGCCCGTACACTCTTTACGGGGGAGGGAAGGGAATCAGGTGTCAGCCCGTCCGGGGGAGGAGTATGTTATAAATCGCGCGATGCATTTGTGCAACCCACCTGTTTCTTGGCGGGAAATCGAGCAAGGAATGACGTGGCTGTCGTCGCGTTCAAAAACATGCTTACTTCAACTGAACTACTTCATTGCATAAGGATTTTGCGGGGGTTTTGTGTCCGGAGAGCTCAGTTTCTAGTAAACTGTTTCGAAGAAATTGTTATGGCAACAAACAATAGCGAATTGGAGCGACGGGAAAGAGAAGAAGAGAAAGGCATAGAGTAAGAATTAACAGGCGCGCTAGCGAAGAGGATTCAAGTGGAAAATTTATGCAGCATCTGCGACTTGTTCACTGACAGCTGAAGCTGACAGAGTTTTGAGTCATCTTTTGATGTTTTTGCCTGTCTTTTTGCACTGGATCTACAAAATGAAATACAGCAGCTATCAACATTCTCTTTTTATTCTTGGCTGGCTTGTTTACTGGGTTGTGGTTGAGAAATGCGCCGCACGACAAAAAGAAATCGGTAATCATCGTTTTCAAAAATAAGCTACTCTTAGTAAGCTTACCTCGCCTGGCTGGACCATGCGAAAAATCTCAAGCGATTCTGGCCTTACTTGATGGGTTTCCGTGCTGCATCTCGACCGGTAAGCTTGAATAATTTTATTGCATTTTATGTGTTTTCTTTTTTCATGTTTATGCCGTCATTTTACGCACATTTGTAAGGTTTGAATCAATTTATCTGACCTAGTAAAGAACTTAAAAAAGTCTTTAGACATTTTCTGACCGCGACTAGAAGACAAAGTTCTGAAAAGTAGTTTAGTTATTCTATTGTTTGAAAAAAGAAAACTTTGAGCGATATTCTTGCCTGGAGTTCATCTTGCAAAATAGCAAACACGGCGCAGGCCGCTAAAAACTTAAGGCTTAATTTAAATCTATTCGTGACTCAGCTTTACTCTCAAAACACCTCTTCGGGAATAAAAATTGTTGACTTTTAAATGTTTCTTCGTATTATATTTCTTGTCTTGATTGTTTGTCAAGATCTCGTTCTTTATACATGATCGCTTTGCCAGTTGTTGTTTTCAGTCGTCCGTGAACGCGTTGGTCACGCTCTACGTCCAATTTTTATGCTCTGATTGGTCAAAATTTGACAGGTGAGTTTATGCGGAAAATTGCAGCATCTTGAAACTTGTTTACTGTGACAGCTGAAGCTGACAGAGTTTTTTGTCAATTTGTGATGTTTTTAACTGTCTTTTTCTACTGGATGTAGGAAATGAAATTCAACTACAATCAAGAGTCTTCTGTTATTCATGGCTAGTTTGTCTATCGGGTTTTTGGTTGAGAAATACGTCGCCTGTCAAAGTCGGAAATCCGATTTCGGATGGCATCGATTCGTTTTCGTTTTTCACCTTGCTTGACTGAAAAGTCTGAAGCGATGTAGCTTCCAGGAGCTACCTGAGTAATTATTGTATTTGTGTTTGTTTTTTCATATATCTAATCATGTCTAATTTCATGAAGCCGAGCGCAGTTTATGAGGCTATAGTTTATGCATGTTTGAATTAAGATTTGAGATAATGATCTGGGCCCAGTTGTTCGAAGTCCGATTAGCGCTTAACTCGGGGTTAAATTTAACCCGAGTTTCTTTTTTTTGTGTTCAAAAGAATTTTCTCGGATAATTTTCTTTGTTATTTTTAGAGCTTCCAATCATCAACTCGTAGACAAAAAGAAGTAAAACTAAAACGTTTTTTAAGCTTTCAAATCTGAATTCAAATCTTGCACTAACCCAGGGTTATCTTAACCAAGCTTTGCACAACTCGGCCCTGACCTATAGTATGAGGTTTGATTTAAGCTTGCAGAACTTTAAAAAGTCTTTAGTCGATATTTTCTCACCGCAAATAGAAAGAAAAAACGTTGCGTTTTTATTTTGGCTGTAGAAAGAAATCTTTGAGCAATTTTCTCGCCTCGAGTTCATCTTTGAAAACAGCAAACACCGGGAACCCGGCTTTAAAACATAAACTTAGGCTTTAAGCATAAAGACTCAGGATTCTTAGAGACACTTTATTAATACTTAATTGTCTTCGTGAATGAAAATTGTTGTCTCTGTACATGTTTCACCGAATTATATTTCTTTTATTGATTGTTAGTAGTCTCTCTTGCAATTTGCCGTTAATGTTTTCAGTCGTTCATGAACATCCTTGCAGGAGTACTCAAAACGTCGCGCGTATTAAACGCTTGTTAAGTTTACACATCGTTATAAAACCATTAAATAAAAAAAAAACACAATAAATTCTTTATTATGTTGAAGTGTAACTCTATTAATGTTCATTCAAACACTCCACAGCTTGCAACTGGCTGGCCGTTATACAGGTGATTTTGGAAATTTTTTTAGCGGTTTCGCTAAAAGCCCACGCGTGCTTCGATATTGAATGAGTGCAATTTATATTTCAAAACTGTGAAATACTACATTCTGTCTGAGGTCTGTATGATAAAAACAGCGCCTCATAGTACTGTTTCACCTCAGACTGTCAGATGTGATGTCTAAAAAGTATAAAAGGTTGGTTTACACGCCCCCAGATTTGTTAGCAAGATTTTGTAAAGCAAACTTGTCAAACGGAAAAAATTCTGCCGGATTTGCTTTCCAAGTATTTGTTTTCCAGGCCTAATCTACTGTGATCAAGAGCCATTATGGACGTTAAATGTGATCGAAGATGATTGCTATTTTTTGGGTGTACATATAAAGGCCGCCAACTCGATGTAAGGTTTGGTGCACTCTTGGACTGTTAGCAAATTATTTTTCTCTCAAATCACTTAGCCTTAATCCCTCAAAACAAAAGTCACATGAATGTGCTCTAAAGTGAAATGATTTGTGGAATACAAGTTTATTGTTTGAGTGAAATCACAAATTTATTAATGGGAGCTTCGCTTTTAGCCCTGGCTAAATCTACATATTAGCTATAGTGAGGGAGCCTTCAAGATGATGTTGCACCTTCATGTTGTGATCAATTGACAGCTGTCAAAATATGGTATTCCCTGACCATATGTATGTATCGTGCGCTCAGGTGTCGAGGTTTTTGAAGTTATTCACTACTAGTTTTAAACTGATTGCAGGCTCAACTCCAAGTTGATTTCTTTGCAATGGTTACAATTTTCTTTTTTGAAGTAAATAATACATTTATCAACGGAAGCTTCGCATTTAGCCTTGGATAAATCTAGGATTGTCAATTAGAACAGACCTTTGCTTCTGTGCGCAGTCGAATGAGGTAAGAGGGATGTACCCGAATGAACTCCAATTATCTATTCTCTCTCCTAAAAAATGAGTCATCCCTGTTTCCCAAATAAAGCCACTCAGTGAACGTGCTCTTTGGATATCCTGAAAAAGTCGTAGACAAATGCGGATTATTGCTAGCTAAGTAGCGCTAAGTTGAAGTATCAGAAGTAGGTATTTGACCCTTCTAGGCAGTGTTACATGATCGGGTATACCCTCCGAAAATTATAGTCCCTGTGTTAACACTTTGTCGTTCGAGTAAAAGGTCTTTGCTAGCTATTAATTCTTTATTTCGTATTTTTACACATAAGTTAGGTTTTTACACTTTTACTTTCAATAGCTTGTCTTGTTAATACAGCTGAACTTCCATCAAGCGGCCACCCTCGGGCTACCGGCAAGTAGCCGCTTAATGAAGGTTAGCCGTTCAATATAAGTTCGTCATAAATTAGTAGTAATCTTTCGCAGAAACATCACTTTATCTTGAACCAAAACACGCGACGAGAGCAGTATTACTCGGACTGTATTTTCCTTCATCGCATTCTTGAAAAAAAGCTAAATAAGTGTATCACGCACTTTATCGCCCGCTTAAAGGAGGCGACAACAAACAAAACTCTCATTGGGATGACCAAAAGGTGGCCGCGGCCGCTTAACAGAGGGTGGCCACTTAATAGAGGGTCTCCGCTTATTAGTTGGCCTCTTAATGGAAGTTGAACTGTATGTCAGGAAATAATTGAATGTCATAATTTTCGTATATGGTTTGTATTCTAGTAAAAGATAATATTAAAGAATCACTCCACGATCATGGTGGCGTAATTTTTTGTGACCCTCCCTCTTTTCATGTCATTTTATTCTTAACCCTGTCCTTTTGAACAGCTCAAAAAACTGCGACCGTCCCCTGTTTTCCACTTCCCCTCACCCCGGCTAATTTCTGACAAGTCCTTTATTTCACGAACAAATTGCTTGGTCATGATTAAGACCGATTAACACTGATGTCAGTGCTGTAGGTGCTGTTATGCAAGACAACAAGTGCTTAATTTTGCTTAGTCACTCAGACAGGAAGAACAATTTTGCTTCAGCTCATTGCCTTAAAAACAAAATGCTTGACATTTTATTTCGGGTCAACTAGCAACGGAATATACTGGTCAAAAGCAAAATAAAAATATAATTGTGAAACAATGTATTTAGTTAAGAAACAATGTTAGTTTTTTTAAAGATCTATAAACCTCAATGAGATAGGAACAAAAGTTAGTTTACCTCAATTCAACACCATGCTTATAGATTAGCTAGAATTCTTGTTGTCCCCTTTTAGAACTTTCAAAGGAAGAACATGATCAGTAGGTGTCTATTAGCAAGGAAGAACATTACAACATATGTCCCTATTTAGGGTCTACAATGTCTTGTTTGTGGAAGTGAAAAAATATAACATGGTTTGAGTCTCATAAAAGCCAAAATATTGGTATAATTATTGAAGTAGAACTTCGACTATATGGGTTTCACTCTATTTACATTAGGGAATACTAAAGAAAATTGTGCAAATTGGCGTAAATGTTACCCTAATGGTGGTTTTCCTAGGCAAGACAGTTCTAACCAACACTGAAGAGTATTTACAGCCTGACAGAGATCGTTTCCTTTGTCATAAAAGAGTTCAGACAGCATGCAGTCAGTTGCATTATTCCATCAAAGGCTTTTTGCTTTCTCTATATCTCAATGGTTGAAAGGTAACATTGTAAGTAATGATGCCCCGATTAATTTTTTTAACACAATCAACATACACTTTAAATTCATCAAATTGAATAACAAAAATAATAACAATAACTTGTAATGATAATAAAACACACTGATTTATGTCAATGTCCAAGGCAAAAAAATCGGCTTCGTTATCCTGATTGATCTTTTCGCGTCAAAGACAGACTACTCTGATGTGGACTCCTCCTTGTATTCCCTCACTTCAGCTAGGGCGGACTCTAGTTCTTCATGAAGAGCTTGGAAGGGTATAATAGTAGAAAATGACACAGCCTTTCCGTGAAGCTTGCCGTTTTCGTTCCCATAAAAATGCAGAAAGTAAACAGCCTCATCGATAACTAGTTCACCAGTTTCATGGTTGTACATGTAAAGGAAAATGGGAGCGCCAGAGGATCCAGGGCAAGTAGCAATCGAGTGTTCGACGAATGGGTCTTTACCTCCAAGCATTCCTTTGTCATTCTGACCATGAGACATGTTTAGAAAGTAAACGTGAGCGAGATCAGATTCCAGTCCTCCAAATGACAATTGCTGACTTTTGCAATGAGGATGAGAGATGCTGAATAGTCTAAGCGAACGCGGATATTTTGAGCTCCGTGGATCAGAGAACCCAAATGAAGAAACATTTCGAAAGTGTTCTAGAATTTCAAAGGCTCTCGTCTCTAGTGGCTTCACGTTTGCAAACTTAGCTTTCTTCTCTTCATTTTCCAGCGGCTTTAAATACAAAAAAGCATAATCCAAGAAAGCATCCCTGTTTCCAACGTATGAATCTAGTAATGTTACAGCTGCCTTACATGCTTGAATATTTGGCGAATCTTTCGTGCCATCTCCATCTAACGCTTTATTCATAGCATCTCGTAAAACGTTTTTCTCTTTATTCTTGTCTGGACGCGATAGTTTTTCGATCCTATGCACTTCGTGAGTAACTTGTACATTGCCAGGCATTCCATTGTAAAAAGAAGTTACTCGAACATTGCCTGGTTCAACAAAGTTAATGC